TTAGTGCTAAGCACTTTGATAACAGTCTATCTGTTTTAAATTGTGCTCTATAAATAAATATGACTTGACTTGACTCCAAGAAATAGCAATTATTTTTACGCTGGATGCCCTTCCTGACCCAACCACAGCCCTCTGCATGGTGGAGCAGAGAGTTGCCGTCTAGACTGCACGAGGGAGCAGATGGCGGGGGTTAATAGCCTTGCTCAAGGGCCCAGAATGGGCCAAATGAGGGTGGAGGCAGGTGTGGGTACTTCACTTTTACCACCCACATTTTTAATGCTGTCGGTCCAGGGGGTCGAACCAACGACCTTCCGATCGCAGGCTCGCCTTCTCCAACCTCTGCACCACTACTCCCCCATCCCCAGTGATGTATGTACAGATGTATAATAACTTTTGGATGGTTGAGACCACCGAGGTCTGTATCTGAGTTACCAACAGTAGCTGGCAGCGTTCATCATGGACCCTCACTCCCAGCTGTGTGGCTTCCAGCTCTGTCACGGTTAACGTCTGCAGATACCCCGTCAATATCCCCACTGATCCTTGATAAACTCCATGTCCACAGCTCTACAAACATCCTCTCTCTGTGGCTGCAGATCTGAGGGGTAGATTCTGGAAATCCACAAAGAGAAAATGTCATCTCCGATTCAAAACCAGTGCACATCAGCTCTGGCAGCCTGGCACCAGATATCTGTAAAAACAGCAAAATAACAGAGCTCATGTCTGGACGTGCCAAAACTCTGCACAAACGGACAAGTCTGTATCTAATAAAACTTCAAAGATTTGTCACTTGAAACTGTGACATTTTGATGGTGTGCTGAGAAAGAACTGTCACTTCAGTCTGCCAACATGGGCTGACTGATCCGTGACAGGCCCAGACTGGTTCTCAGCTGACTGCCTGCTGGGCTCCATCTGCAAAAAGAAGCAGAGCAAATGGTTTTCAGAGTGAAGTTAACACGTTGTGACATTTTGAACAAAATTTAGCATCTCTTCTCTTTTAATGCAATTAAACAAAACCTGCTTCAGACTTGAGAAAACAACAGAAATGTTTGCTAAAGAGAATAAACATTTTATTTTAAGAATGGCTTGATCTGTACTGCCCCCTTTTGGAGTTACCAGGAGTTGCAGGAAGTTTTATTTTTGTGGTGTGAAAATTCTGAAATGTAAACTGATTAAATACCATTTTTAAGATATTTGTTTTAAATGAGCATTTGTGGTGAGGATTCCAGCAGTCCAGAGATTGAATTATTAAAAGATTTAAAGAGCATGCACACATCAAGTCCTTGATACAAAGTGCATTTTATGTGTTTAATAACAAGTTTAGTGCAACTTAATTCAAAACTGCAAAAAAAAAAAAAACAACTGCATGTAAAATAACATTTTGCATTCAAACCCATCGATTGAAACTAACTATTGTGCCATTTGCAATTTTAATATCAATATACTACTAATTATGTTTTATTAAGTGTCACTTGGGTTCAAGCGCTGAATAAATAATCTAAGACAAAAATTCATGATTTTGAAGCAGAGCAGCTTTGTCAAAAAATTGTTTTGCATCAGTTTGTGTAAGAAGGCTGAGGCAGACAGCAAAATTATGGTTCAATGAAAAGGAAGATGTAGGCGAGAAGGTCAAATTATTTGTTATTGTGGAAAATAAAGTTTGACAGTTTTAAAACATGCATGTTAGGCTGATTGGTGACTCTAAATTGTCCCTAGGTGTGAGTGAGAGAGTGAATGGTTGTTTGTCTTGTTTGTATCTATGTGTCTGTGATGGACTGCAGAACTGAGGGTGTCCCCTGCCTTTCGCACAGTGAAGGCTTCACATGGGCACCAGTCACCCCCGTGACCCGAAAAGGAAGAGGCGGGTAAAAGATAATGGATGAATGGAAGTTTGACAGTTTTATAATGTTTGGGGCTTTTTGTCATATGCATGCAAATAAAGTAATTGTCCACAAGAGGGAAACATTAACAAATAAAAACACCGACCTTCTCCACACTAAACTAACCAGACATTCCTAACAAGGATTATAAAATGTTTTATAATTTTTCATCCTTTTGTTACTTTTACATTGAACAGAGCCTCAAGACAAATTTAAAGCAAAAACAAAACCAAAAAAGTGTGTGATACTTTAAACTACAGGAGTCTTTACAGCGAAAGTTCGTTGAAAATGTTATTTCATGAAAGAAGAGGAAGCAAAAGTAAGAAAAAAGTTAAACAAATAAATAAACATATAAATAAATACAAAGCTGCTGACATTTATTTTCCGTGTATTGAGATGTTACCTCATTTTTTTTTCCTTTCTCAGTTTTTTTTAAACGTTTTTGTTGTTAAATGTTGACAGCTGCATTCATTTAGATAATTTTACATTTTATTTTAGATGATTTATAGCAACAACAAAAAAAAGTAGGGAAGTAAGCATAAAACTGGAAGAATGTTAAAATGAACGGAGCAACAAATGACATATTCAAGGTATGAAAGTGGTTTTAATGATGAGAATACAACAGGTTTTTATTTTTTCCAAGCAAATTTTCACAAGTTACAGATTTTTAGTAAATAGCTGATACATCAGCTGCATTTACTCTTTTTCTTTACATTAGCAGATGAACATCGTCTTGTTTTGGATTTTATTGCTCTCTGATGTTGGGCCATGATCAGATACGGATTTCACAACAAAATGAAGACAGTTTCATTTGTTTAGCTGGCATTTAAATCACATCTGATCATTTTTTGAAACTTTTGACATGCCAAGTGTCTTATTTCCAACCAACTGCTCCAGTTGAGCCACCCATGCAGCTGCCAGGAGAAAGTTGCTCCAAGGCAAAGAGCTGTGCAGCTGTTGAAGGACGAATTTGACACCAACTGAGAAAAAGTGCACGATCAGCAGCTTTTCATTGCTGTTTTCTTTGCACCCTCAGTTCACCTCTCCTTCCTGAAGCTGTACAAATCCTCCAGAAGAAATGTTTGCAGAGACTAATAATCAACAGCTTCTTCATCTCCTGTCAGCAGCTTTTGTCGTCCATCTTTCACCGTCCTCCTGTCCGTCCTCAGTGTTGACTCGGGTTTGACCGAGTCTTTTCAAGCACAACCCTAAAGAATCACTGAACTGTGACTGACTGATTGTTGAGTTTGTTACAGGTTGTCTTTCTCTTCATTTTGCATGTTAGAAATCAGCGCATTTCCCATCCCTCCATTACTGAAACACAGAGTTTTAGACAAAACTTTATTTAAAAATCAGCTAAAGCTTCAAAAATAAATTTTTAGTCAGGGAACAGATATCACCTCACCTCATTTAAAGCTTAAGCTTTAAATGAAGGAGCCTGTCATCGCGTACAAAAAGACTAAAGGACTGCTATTATCCACAAGCCATCAGATTACTGAACTCTTGATAAATAACACTGAACAAGTGGGAATAACTAACTAATAAGTTAGAATCAGAATCAGAATAAGCTTTATTATCATTGTACAGGGAATACAACGAGAATGTGTCCGTACAGTCGTCCCAAAAATGGGCGGAGTACACGTAGCTGCTGCTATAAGCGCAGAATACCTTTTTTTAAGTAGAAAAAGGGACAAAGCCATTATGAGAGGGTAGTTGCATTACAAAAAATATCTCTTCACACCTTGTCCTAACAGGGCACGATTTAAGACATCAAAAAATGTGTCCAGCAAGCACATTTATGACGACGAGGCGATCGATGAAGCACTAAACAGATAGTCCATTGTCCTGATAAGATGAGATGATGGTCAGCCGGCACAGTTCTGATAAGCCTCCACAGAGGGCGGGGGTGGGTGGGGGTTTGCGATAGACAAAGCTTTTCCTTGGTTTACACAGTTCCCAGGAGAAATTGGTAAGTCGGCTTGTTTCGAGGCCAACCAGGGGAGTCAGATTCATATAATCCACAATTGTTGATTTATTCAGGCAGACTGTTTTTCCTGGTCAGCCTTGAGTCTGTAATGATACTTCCAAGGTTCAAAATGGCCAGATTAGGGTGCATATACTGGTCCGTGCTAACGAGCCTCTTCAAGGTTGTTTTCATGCTAACGAGTCCCAAAGCCGCAGTTGGCCTGCGATTCAAATAACTTCCAACTTACGGTTTAGCTCGTAAATCAGCTGATTTTGAGTCCTCAAAGCACGAACTGACCTTCACATAGACAGCAGCCTGACATGGGCCAAATTAGCTGCGGCCGTCTTCTTTGTATGTTGATAAACCAGGATCCAGACTATTACAAAAACAGGAAACCTGTTATCATAACTCCAATAATATGCAATTTTGGCATCCTCGATCAACAGCAAAGATAGACACATCACCCCCAGAGATATATCCAGCTGCATGCATGTCGTCTGAGCAGACATAAGGGTTCTCCAGGACCCTGTCGCTTTGTTGAAAAGATTTTGTTATTTGCGTCGAAAGTGTCAGATCCAAAACAGTAGTTTTCATTTTGGAAGAAAAATAGGAGCTGCTCCGATACACAGACAGAGTGCAAAAAAGCAGGAGGAGAACAGGGAGAGGGAAGAAACGCGTGCGTCTCGTCACAGAGCCAGTGACGGAGAGATAAAAAAAGTCAACCTCATAGTCACTACCTGTGCAATAATCTGTCACAACCCATGTAGTATATGTTGATTATGTGCAGTGAATATATATATATATATATATATATATATATATATATATATATATATA